GGTTTTTTTCTGTTTTTTTAAAAGGTGGGAATGGTCCACTTTGAAATCTCTAGAAATCCACTTTTGCTTTGATAAAACATTTTAATCATCTAGATTTGATCCTGCTCAATCTTGTCTCTTTCTTTAAATTATTCTACTACTTTTTTTATAAACCCACAATAGAATGGGTTCCGATCCTGTGCAGTTAATTTTTTTAATAATAGTAAATGTGTTGTTATTTAAAACAATATTGTTTCGTACCAAAATAAAATTATTTTATTAAATAAAACGGTATCATTTTAAGAAATAACACCCCTGCTGCTGTACAAACAAAGGACCCACACAGCATAAGGGCTGACTAGAGAGAGAGAGAGACAAAGAGGTGGCTAAAGATATTCTTTGCAGTTACAAGAGGGACTTCCGGTCCATATTGAACTAAACCGGTCGGCCCACCATTTTTGACCTGATGTACACCTTACCAGTCATTTATTGGAATGTGGGGCCCAACCTGGCCCCAATTGGGCCCATCATTTTTGTCTTGGTCCTAATTGTTACATCGAACGGCTCTACTACGTTTATTATCTGCAGCACTCGATCTTGACTGTAAAAGTACAATTCTTAGTGTACGGACTCATTACGCAATGTTTTTTATTTTTTAAAGGTCTGGGATCGAAACTGTCCATTTTTATTTTTCATCAATTTCATCAGACCACAAAATAAAAAAAATATATTTTTTTTATTTTTCATTCTTAAAGGATAGAAACTGTATCTCTTCTATTTTTCATCCTTTTTACCAAACGCAGCATAAGTGTTTTTCCATTAATTTTTTATCTAATCTTATCAAAAATAAATTATTCACGTCAAAATTAAAATATTTACGAATGACAAAACTTTCGTATAGAATTCAAAGAATTGTTAAAATTCGAGTTCATGATATCTATGTTTGTAGTTCATCTCTATTACTTTTTGAACTATTCTTTAAAGTTTATTATGCAATGCTCCTATCCAACTCTATGGTTTAAAATATAAATATAAATTTTATTTCTAACGTCATGGTTGTCTTGAAACCTAACATAAATATAAAGTTTATGGTTTAAAATATTGATGGAAACAAATACAATTCTATTGTATGATATTAGACATGGTATTTTTTTCATTTCCATACTTTTTTATGATTTGTCTAAATCATTAATGTCATTTAATTGATAGTTAACTTGGAGACATTTCAATAAGATCAATCGAGTCATACAAATTGTCAACACGACTCACAAGAACTAAACTTTGTTTTGAAAGGATCAAAGCATTCAAAATATTTTTTTTTTCTAGAAATCGAAACGAATTATTAACTAAATATAAAGTTCTTATGTTTTAATTTTTTAAAGTATTTCGGTGTATTTTGAATTGTTTCAGAAATAAATTTTTATATTTTTTTCTTAATTTTTATTCCATTTTCAAAACATTTGTAAAACGTTTTCATCAATAAGTTGCCTGAAATTTCGCACCCAAATAAATTGTTACCATTACTCATTACATATATTCAATTTGGGGAAAAATGGTACCGCATCAACATTTACCATTTTTGTGAACATTTTTACCACTGTTATATATGTAACTATTGTTGTTATACCGGAAAAAAAAAAGTGATAAAAATAAGAGTAATGCTGCATAGACTTAAAAATTAGACTTAAAAATTAAACTTGATAATCTCAACCATTGAATAGGTAGTGGGTCCTAATAAATACTGGGACTTACAGTGAAATCAATGGTTGAGATTATCAAGTCTAATTTTTAAGTCCATGTAGCATTGCTCTAAAAATAATTATCACCCACAAAAAATATATTTTTTTGTACCGAAGAAAAATAGTAAAATTTTTTACCACAACAGTGATAAAAACACCCATAAAAATAATAAATCACCCCATTGTAAAAATAACCATAAAAATAATAATTTTTAAAAATATGGTATCAAGAAAAAAATTCGATACCATAATCAAATCTAGATATCATTTTACAATGTTGTGACATGATATAATCACATAGATTTATTATAATGTTTAATTTCTTTCATCTTTTTGTGTTTTGGTTTAACGGTCAGATTAATTTATGCACATTTTAACTAATTTTTTTTCTGATCCGATTAAAAATAGATCATCCACTTTATAACTATAAATAATGCAAGTCGTGTGTATGCCACGTCAAAATTATAAAAAAATTATTAAAATTTGAATTCAAATCCTGCGTATGCCATGTCATATTATTTTGGGAGATAAACTATAATTAAACCATCCAATTGTAAGAGGATAATTACATAAAACAATTCCAAAAAGATAAGATGCAAATTGATGAGGTAGGCCCCATTACTGAGAATCTAATACGTACTCTTTTTTCCCACGTTCACATTCTTCATTGGAAGGGCAAAGGCAAAAGGCAAAAGGCAAAAGGCAAAAATAATAATTGGTCAATGCCATTTAATCTGGTAGCACAAATCCATAAATGAATCACATACGTGGCACGTTTTCACAGGCTCTTGGAAAACACCAAGCTTCGAAATTGTTCAGCCATATCCTCCAAATAAATTTGCACAATACACCTTTTGATCGTAGAAAATAAATAGAAAACTTCAAATTTGATTTTATAGATTAATTAGGATTAACCACGTCTACACTTATAAAATTAAATAAATAAATAAATTAGAGAACTCCTTTTTTTTATTTGGAAAGGTTACTTTTGTCAAGGTACTATACTTAAAATTAATTGACATTGAGTGGGGTGACTTTTCAAATACATATAAATCAATTATTTGAATTATTCGATATCACGTACAAACTCTTTTGACAATGACTATATATTTCTTAGGTTTTACAACGATTAGAAGTGATGGCGGAGACCGAAAGGAAAGAATATTCAATTTTTTTTTTGTGGGTAAAAAAAAAAGGATAAGGATAAAGGAGAGCTGATAGAAATCACTTTCGATAAATTTTCATTGGTGAGATTACGAGAGTATTGATTGCGCCTGTAACCCCATTTTTAAAACGAACTTGAGTAGATTAGTATAACAATCAATTATCGAACTACAATGTAAACTTTAAAATTCGAATCTTCAATTTCAAATACCCCACTTGACAACCTTTTCGGTGGTGAAAGATTATGCATTTAATTGCTGACGGATGAAAGAGAACAATAGGTTGTGATTGTGTGGAAATGGGTTGGTGCTTTAGTTGGAGACAAAATAGATTTTTTATTTTTTTGTCTTATTGTGTAATTGATATAATTCGTAAAAAAGTGAACTACCAGAGTCCATGAATGGAGTGATATTCTATGAAATTCGAACAAAACTCAATAAAAATTGTTACAATACAAAAAACTATTAGCATGTGTTTTTTTTTTTTTTTTTTTTGTCCTGTTATTAGCGTCTTCTTTGAAATTAACCAAATTGATGTATGTGTAATTTACTCTGATGGCTACGGACCTACGGTGACTACGGTCTCCTCTCTCCCGCCAACCTTTCTTTTACGAAGAATCACTATTTTTTTAATCTAAAAAGTAATAATAAAATCATAATATTTTTAATATTTTTTTTAGAGTTAATAGTATTTTTGGTCTTTAATGTATGCATTTTATTTTTTAGTTTAGTCTTCATTATATTAATTTTGTCATTTTAATTCTTAAAATATTTAATTTGTATCATTTTAGTTCCTAATAAGACAATTTGTTAAATTTTTTAACGAAAATGATTATTGTGTTATTTTTTTAGACTGTATCATGTGTTCAACACGTAATCATTTCGTCAAAAATTTTACGATCTTTCTATGTAAATATCAAAATAATAAGAATTTAATAATTTAGAAATCAAATTAATAAAAATAATATAGTACAAACTCAATTGGCAAAAATCATATATTTGAAAGATTAAAAATATTACGAAGAGAGGACCAAATTTAAACCCACAAGCAATGGGATGATCGCAACCCGACCAATCTCTAAACCCCATTTTTTAGTGTAAAATACTAGTCGCTGCAGCTTCCTAGCTATCATCAATAGTCGTCCCTTTAGCTGACTTTTATAGTCTTTCGCCAGACGAGACAAAAAGGGGAGTTTTACGGAATTATTGGTGATATAAGCATTAAAAATTATTATTTTTTAAGATTAAGTTATAATTTTTTTAAGTGTAAATTATAATTTTAAAGGATATAATTAATTATAAAATATCAAAATCAATACTGTAATTTTCATAATTGATGATAAATAAATGTAATTGATTATAACCTCCGGTGAATTTTTCTTTTTAAACAATAAAAATGTTATTGAAAAATAATTTATTAATTTAATTTATTGATCTAATTTATTATGACCTTTGAATCGACTGTGGGATCTATCAAATATTAAAATTTAATATTGATCTAATAATTCTGTTAAAATTACATTATTATCTCAACAAATTAAATAAAATTTTTAAATTCAAATAATATTACTCTTTACGCAAAGTATTAATCGATAATACTTGTACCGAAAATTTTCTAAGAATTTTCCCCTAGAAAATATGTACATAGGAGTAGGACTCTATCTCTCGTCTCTATATATTCTTCTTCTCATTCAATCGCGAGCCGGCACCATTCCAAGTGCATCTTGGCTACTTCTCTCCACCTTCCTCTTGCTTTGACCCTTATAATCCTCCACTCACATCTGCACAACCACCCTTCTGTTCACTTTGTCAGCCTACCCACCGCGGTCATCACCACCACCATCAAAGCTTGTCTTGCATAGACGTTTCAGTTCCTATAGGGCAAGAAGAAAAAAAAACGTATCTCATAGAAGGGAAAGACAACAAACGTTTCGAATGAAAATCTTGTATTGTAGCTTCGACCCACATGTCAAATATACCTACCTCTCTCTCTTCCACTTAGCCATGTCCGTCGCTGAACCTTTACTTTTTTCCTAGACCAAAACCCTCAAATTCTCTCTCTCTCTAAAAGCTCTTCTTCTACACCTACTCTCCTCTTTTTCTCTCATCACCCTAATCCATGAAAAAAATCCGAGGCTTCTTGCTCAAACACCGGGTCACCACCCTTTTTCGGTGGTTCCGCCGAAACTTCTCGTCGGCGGCGTACCACCGTCTGGACCCACATAAGACATGCGAGTCAAGAGTCTCCAGACCCATTTCCAAAATTTTCAGATGGGCTCACCGACTCAGAGCCAAAATCATATGCTCCAAGAATTCTCAGCCGGGTTCGAATCGGGGCTACATGCATATCGGAGAAGACCCGGTTCAGGAAAAACCGGTATCTGTTCCGAAGGGTCACATGGCGGTGTACGTGGGTCAAAAAGACGGTGACTTTAGGAGGATTCTTGTGCCTGTGATGTACTTCAATCATCCATTGTTTGGAGATTTGCTGAGAGAAGCTGAGAAGGAATACGGGTACAATCATCCGGGTGGTATCACTCTACCTTGTCGGATCTCGGAGTTTGAGAGCGTCAAGACCAGGATCAAGGCCAGCCGGACCCCCCGGAAAACGCTGACGTGGAATTGATTGAATTTCGATGGTTTTAGATGATGAAAAGGCATGATTGGTGATGGTGATAATGATGTTTTGATTTTTGATTATTTTTTTGCTCCTTTTTACATCCTGAGAAGGAATACGGGTACAATCATCCGGGTGGTATCACTCTACCTTGTCGGATCTCGGAGTTTGAGAGCGTCAAGACCAGGATCAAGGCCAGCCGGACCCCCCGGAAAACGCTGACGTGGAATTGATTGAATTTCGATGGTTTTAGATGATGAAAAGGCATGATCGGTGATGGTGATAATGATGTTTTGATTTTTGATTATTTTTTTGCTCCTTTTTACATCCTGCAATAGTTTTGGTTTTTTTTTTTTTAATAGTCATGTTGTAAATTGTAATAGATCTATATTTTGCATATATTTATAAAGATTTTTCCTTTCCATAGTTATTTTTATTTAATTTTTTTTGGTTCACTATTATAAATGATAATAATTATTATTTGTTTTCTCTCTTTAAATTCTAAATTTACACAATAAAAAATTAAAATTTTCAGATTGCCTCTTTAATCAAACAATAATAATAATAATAATATCATGGTCCAAAACAAAAAATCTGATACGTTGTTTGATAATTTTTTGTGTTGTATTTTTATATTATTCTATTATTTATTTGTATATCACTTAATTTTAAATATTTTACATTAAAATTTTATGTTCAATTTTATTGAAATAAAACATATTATTATCTTTTTATGCCATTAGGGATAAATTAAAAATTTTAGGGTGCAAAAATTCATTAACTACTACTACTACTACTACTACTAATAATGATATTATTATTCACGCTGACTTGTATGATACATTCCTCGATCATGCTAGGTACTTAATCATTCATATTATAACAGTTTTGACGATTATTAAAAAGTTCATTTAATTAATGTGTTGGATGGTACTTGATAGGTACATTTCAACGCTACCGTTCCTTGTTGGAGAAAATATCGAGTGCTCACTTGGCACCACGTAATACCATCTCATCTATAATTTTAGAGGCTAACTCAAGTTGTAATAAAAATAAATTATAAATAAAGATATTCTAAATTTAAATTTTAGCGAAGATTAAGATGAATTTATTTTTATGAATATCTTAATCTTAACGCGATAGTCTATCAATGGAATACTTTTGAGAAAGGAGTAGATTGTGAACATGTGTTATCAGCACCGAAGTACATCCTTGTCTCTAGCAATGTCACGTGTCTTCGGCATCAAGGCATCTCTCTCGTTCCCTTGCATAGCCACGTATCCTAGGCTTCGAGGGTGCCTCCACTCCGAGGCAACTGCGTGCTCTCAGCTCCAAGAGTACCTCCACCCCGAGTGTCCTCAGCTTCAAGGATACCTTTTGAAATTCTAATCTTGTCATGCGTGTTCGACTTTTAGAATGACTATTAATTGACAATGAAATAAGTAAGAGCTAGACTAGAGATCATTGGGGATATGTAAGAAAACACTCTGACGTTCCTTCTAAGCCGTTTTCTATGTGCCAGAAATCGCTCATGACTTGTCGAAATTGATCGAGCAGCCTCTGAAGTAATTTATCACCACTCCTTAAGCCTCCTTTGACCCTTTTGGATTGTTCCTTTATCCCGGGATTGTCCATTTCCTCGACGAACGTGAGTTCACCAAGGGAGAAATTTGTATTTTTATCTATTATGCGGAAATCACCGCGCACACCTATCCTTGACTAAATTGAAAAAAAAATTAATCTAAAAACCCTTCACGAGTAAAAAAAAAAACAAACCAAATTGATGTGAAATCTAGATTTGTCATTGAGCAAAAAAAAAAATCTAAGTATTGAGCAAATTGATGTGTTTAAAAATCGTCTTGTTGTGTGATCAGTTTTTATTTTTTTGGTGCTTAATAGAAAATGACAAAACTATCTAATTTGACCTCCAACTGGTTCATCACCATAAGTGTCCTTGTCACCAATCTTGCAGAAATTAGTGGAGAATATCTAATAATCAATCAACTTTGGAGCAAGTGCTTCAAGGCAGTGCCCACCTCCACTTGTCTTTTTTTTTTTTTTGTCGGTATTGCGTTGAGGAAGTGTCTGCCCCGACCTATAAGCATCTTAACTAATTTCTTCTTTGCCCAATGTGAATTCGGCTTGTATAGAACTTACTTAATTCAAGTTCAATTCATATTTTAAACAAACTTAAAAAATTCAATAGGACCTCACAAAATTCGATACGTTTATATGTAAAATAATCAAGTTTTTTAGACTTGGCTCGAACTCAGCTCAATTTTTAAATAAGCCGAATTTAAACAATTTTTTAGACTCATTTAAAAAAACAAGCTCGACAAATTAGGCTTAAGCTCGCAAAACTCAGTTTGATTTTTGGTCCTAGTTAAATTCATTCACACTAAAATTAAAAAATTCATGAAATATATACTTCATGACCTAACCCAAAAGATTATTAAATTTCAAACTCAAATCTGAATTTACAACATATCCCAACTCCCTAGCCCAACAGAAGAAACTTAGTGCAGTACATTAGTGCTTGTGGCAGCACTATAACATGTTGCATTTTGGACCCACGATATGGCTAAGGTATCTCCAAGTTATTGTGAACAAAAAATAATCTGAACCGCTGATTTTGAATTAAATAATTTATAATCATTTATTTAAAAATATATATACTTTGTATATTTTTATTGATCCAAAAAATAAAAATAAAAATACAATATCGAAAAATATATTTTAGTACGATAACACTTCCGTGGACTAAAGGTGGTCCTCTACTGGGCAGTGGGCACATAAATTCGTGCCCTTTTTTGAACGATTCCTAAGTAATGCCCTAATTCATTCCCGTGATGCATAAATAACTTCAACTTTCCACCATCAGTGCACCCTTTTTTAGGCCGTTCTATGTTTTTTTGAAATCCACAATAAAAACTCATTTAAACGTAGTTCGATTCAAACTTGATAACGAGTTACGAGATTGTCAGATTATTGTAATTGGTTCGGTGCATGTAAGCTTGATCTTTGATTGTACCAGCAGTAAGATGACAAGTCATCAACATCTATGCGAATCAAGTATCTATACAAGTTGAACTTGATCGAGATCCTAATCATTTAATTCAAAGTGTGAAGACCTCGTTGACTCAAAAATTGGAACAAAGTAGACACTAACAAGGAAATGAATATAATGTGCAAAAAAAAAAGTTTGGTGCCATAGCAAGGTTTACTTCAATCGAGAGTTAAATTACAACTTTTAAAGGGAGGTTACGATTATTTTTGTGATCGATTATATCATTTTATGGTCAATCACAATGCTCTGATTATCATTGATCATTAAATATTATGATCAATAAAATTGTATTTTTTTAAAAGGTGAAATTACAACGTGATTAACTTTTATTTATGATCTATCCTAACTTTTTGAGATATAACTTAGATTCTCAAAAAATTGCAACTTCATCTACATCTAAAAACAGGCAGACCCAAGAATACTTGAGGCCCTAGGTAAAATATTTATATGGGGCCTTAAATTATTTTTATGTGAATAATTTATTTATTTTTATTGTTAAATTTTAAATATTTAAATTTATGTATTTTATTAAGTATATTTAATTAAAGTAAAAAATATTTTTTATGAAACAAAAAACATTATATAACTGATTATATTAAAATCAACTTAACTCAAAAAAATAAAACAGGTTACAATTGTTACAAATTTATCTAAAATAAGAGCGTAGAGTCTTGTAAGAGGCATTCCATTGCAATCAATCGTCGTTAAAGGATAAGGACGCTGCGTTCATCCAACATCCAGAGTCGTTGGGTCTGGACCATTGTGTTTAATGTCTAAGTTGGATGCTACACGTCAAAAGAACGTCACTAATTTTCAATCATGGTTTCAAAAAAGGGGATTATATTCTTGATCCGAACCTAATTTTTGACATTATCCATAGAGATTGTGCAGAAATTTTTGGCACAATATATTATTAAAATGACGCAAAAAAAAAAAAACACGATCCCAAAATAGTAAATAACTCGGATTAGTATGAATCAAAAATAACCCGGCATTGATACAATATAAACTGGTTTAACTATGATCATAGGAAGAAAAGATTGTTAGTTTTATTTGATTTTGTCAGGATATTGATCAAGTTGATTTTTAATTTAATGAAGACTTGTGTGATGAATTTATTGCCAAAAATAAATATGCATATAAAATCTTGTAGCTTCTTGTTCATAGGTCATGAACAAGTCAGAAGTCTACTCTCTTGAATCGAACATGGGTGATCGATCATTAACAGGACAATTCTTATGTGGCGCTATCTTACTATTATATTGTCAAATTCGATGATATCTGTGTTTAAGTTTATTTTTTAGGGTTAATTAAAAATTATACTATGAAAAATCGTTTGAGTCTCAATTTACACATCCAAAGATAAAAAATTTTAATTTGTACCATCAAAGATAGAAATTTGTATCAATGTGTACTTCCAAAGATCAACAAACTCAATTTGTACACTCAAAAATAAAAATTTGTATCAATGTACACCCCCAAAGATAAAAATCTCAATTTTCACCGTCAAAAATAGAAATTTGTATCAATGTGCATCTAAAACTAAATTGATAAATTATACCTAGATCCCCTTATGCTTGTCACTTAATCATTTAGACCCCTTCACATTTAGAATATTGCTCCGACATCTTATGACGTTTGTGCACGTATAATACGTAACCCATTTTTGTTGATATTTGTTAATATAATTGTTAAAAAAAGATTTTATCATAATAAAAAATTATAATTTTATAGGTCCAACATACTCTAAAATTCAAAATCAAGTTTACTATTTGAATGTTTAATAGAATAAATGGTTGCACATTGAATGATATATTGCATTGGATATTAAAAATATTATATAAATATCTACATTCTATTAAACTTTCAAATGATAAGCTTAATTTTGAACTTTAAAGTATATCGGACTTAAAAAATATAGGGTAATATGAAATTATAATTTTTTATTAGGATAAAATCATATTTTTTAACGGTTGTATTAACTGATATTAACGAAAAGGAGTTATGTGTTAAATGTACACAAACGTCATGAGATGTAAGAATAATATTCTAAATGTGAAGGGATCCAAATGATTAAGTGATAAGCATGAGGAGATCTAGGTATACCTTGATACAAATTTCTATTTTTGAGGGTGTAAATTGAGATTTTTTATCT